ATTTGAGCGAGCACGCAGTTTCCCTTGGGTTTTGTGGTTTAAATGAAGGATTGTCCCGGCAACGCTGACACAGTGCTGGCTCAAATTTTTTTTTCGCGGAGTTGCACGCCATGACGAAAATTTTTCCAGGAGCGGGCACGTTCGATTTCAGCGAGCACGTTGGCGCCGAGCTAGCACGTTGGCAGTCAGCGAGCACGTTGGGGAAGAGCGAGCACGTTGAATTTGAGCGAGCACGTTCAAACACCTAGGAAACCACGGGCGCACACTTTTGCCTTCTACTCTCTCTTCCGAACAATTTCGGGTTTGGGCGGAACCCACGGGCGCACGATTTTGCCTTCTAGTCTCTCTTCTGAACACTGTGAGGTTTCGGTAGCGGTTCCCGGAGTCCGGACCTCGCAGTCCCTGGTCGGGGGCACCTTCGCCTAGAGCCCCAGAATTCCCAAACACAGCCGAGTCGCCTAGCAAAAGAAGAGCTCGTCCAGCAAGCAGAGGCTGCCCGTGGCTCTAGTCTGTAAAACTTCGGCTTCTGAGGTTTTGGGTTGGAGGAAGCAGTGCTCGGAACAGAGCATGAGGACAGTCTTGCAAGCTTGGGGTCTAGGGTTTTTCGGTGAGGTATCCTAGGACGTGAAAGGAACAATGCTTCCTTCCACTTTTGCAATGGGATACACATCATTTCCAAACACCAGGATACCTGGAGCATGCAGACATTGCAGTTCCAAGAAGAGCATCTCTGCAAAGCTTTGGCTAAGCTCAAAGCCCCAATCTTAGAGGCCTACAGCTTCAAAGTAGTGCACAGACTCTGTTTCCGGGAAGCAGTTGCATCCTCGCAGAGACTGGAACACAGCTGGCTGGAGCAGCGACTGGAGTAGGCGAGAGCAACAGATTGACGAAACTGAAGTACTGTGCCAGAGGCCAGCATTGAGTAACACAAGGATCTCCAGGCTGCAGGCTGTGCCTATCGGGCTCTGGGCTTGTTCCTAATTGCAAAATTCCAGATCACTTGACAGCAGCCTATGAAGCTTGGCAGGATGCAGGCTCTCAGGCATTCGGCATGAGGGCCTGAGCGCCCGAGCCCGAGCCAGGGCTGTCCTCCGGCAGGTTGGTTGGCGAGATTAGACTCAAGGAAAAACATACCCTGAACTGCAGTCCTTGGAAGATCCCAGCTTCGAGGCCCAATCATCGAGGAGGCTTTTGCCCTTCATTGTCAATCTCTGGTAGTACTTCTTGGAAGCACTGAGGTGCGAGGACAGGGCTCCTTCAGATGCATCCGTGGAAAAGCAGAAGCACCACAGCGGCAGAACACTGTCCCCACTCTCCTTCCAGCTGGCCAAGGCAATCCGAAGCTTCTTCGAGGTTCCAGACCTCCTCGGCCATAAAGATGCTCACCCAATTGGCGATGTCGGGCCTCACAAGACTTAGATCCGTCTCACTCAGCACTACAACATGAGAAGGAGGTCCAGGAGACAGGGCACTCCGAAGACTGGGGCCAGGCTGTCCTAGAGCTTCGTTTCGTGTCAGCATTATGCTTCCTGTTTCCTTGGAACACCCGCAGCCACGCGACAGTGTGGTGACAAAGAGCCAGGAGCTGCTCGATTGGCAGCCCTTGAGGGAACAAAGTTGCTTCCTGGTTAATCCATCTCGTCAAGATCCAGCAGCAAAAAGCTAGGACTACTGACGTCTGCCAAAGGAGGGCGGGAGGCATGCATCAAAGGATCAAGAGACACTCCCTCCTGTACATGCTCCGCAGGTGCCGCAGAATCCTCCCCCGCCTCTGGCCCCTCTTCCGATGCAGCTGCTGTTGTCGATGTGGCAACCGCTGCCAGTTGGTGACCTCCTGCAGATGCTGCGATGTCGGCGGCCACTGGCATCGTGACACTGGAGAATGCCCGATGGAAGTTGTTGCACCGATGGCTGTGTCGATGAGCATTGCTGGGGCGGCACTGGGAGCAGCATGCGGAAAAGCCGAGGCCAGCTTGTCGCACGCAAGCTACTGTTTCGCAGGCATGGGTGCCATCTCCGGCAACTGCACGGCGAGGACGTAGAGCACGTTGCATCTTCAAGCATCTTCTGGTGTGCACTGCAGCCTGTGTGTGCGAACAAGCGGAGCAGCAGTGTCTGTGGCTGGCCCCGAAAAATCCGAAAGCACAACCTGGGGTCGCGCACGAACTCATCGTTGCCCCTGCTTGGTCCAGAGGCACGGAGGCAGCAGCCATGACTTCACCCAAGCAAAGCAGGAGCTGGTGGATTTGGAAGCCAAAACTTGCGGACACGACTCAGGGTCACAACTTATGAGGCAGTCAACAAATTCAGAGCAGGCGGCAGTGATACCAGAGGAATTGCCGGCACTGCAGTCATCTTGCCAAGTTGGCAATTAGGACGACATGATTTGCATCCAGTGCTCAGGCCCCCACGGAGTCAGGCCCTTTGGGAAGCTCTTGAAGAGATCCTCGTCCAACCTTTTGTTTTTTTTCTTCAGAGTGGAAGGCAGGCTCTCCGCGAC